TGAAAATGTGCAACTTGACTGTAACCATGGAGAAACATCAGACAGATCCAATGGAGGGGCAGTCCGTCAAACTACTGGCCTGCACTTAGCAACAGTGTCAATGTCATCAAAGACACAGAAAGAAAGACACAGAATTGGATTCTGGATCATGGGAGAAATACTGTAGGGGACATTATTGAGAAAATATGAATATGTACTATACCTAGAGTAATACTGGACAAAAACTTCTGGAATTTGAAAATTGTACTGGGGCTGTGAACAAGAATGTTTTTGTTCTTAGGAAATGCTGCGAAGTATTTAGGGATAAAGGGGCAGGTTGTCTATAACTCTCAAACGGTTCAGGAAAAAAAATGATGATGCAAACATGGCAAATGTTAACTGACATCTGGGAGTTCTACATGCTATCCATGCAACTCTTGTAAGCTTGAAATTATTCAAACGAAGAAGTTTTAAAAGTCAATGCAAAATAAACATTTACGCATTTGAATTTGAATATGTCTACTGGAGTATAAACTGGCACAACCTTTTTAAAAGGTGGGAAATCTGGTAACACACATTAAAGACTTCAGTGATGCATCGCATCTGAACCAGTAATGCTATCTTTAGGGATTTATCCTAAAAAGAATCAGACCAGTGTACCTATGAATGTTTACTACTTACTTATAATAACGAAAACTCAGGTATACTCTGAGAGCATTATTAGATAAGTACATTATGGCTCAAACCTAGAATGGATGATGCCGTGATATGGCAATTAAAATAAAAATATTTTAGATTTTATACTGACTTAGAAATCCTCTTAATTTGAATAAATAAAATCAAAGATAAGAAACTGAATTAAAGAGCAGAAATCTTTTGAGTGCTTTCTTAGTATCTTTGAGTCGATTAGGATTTACATTTAATCCTCACAAGTTTATAGTCCAAAATAATGGTATATTCATACTACTCACCTATTGGACTTAACTCCATAATGAATGTCTATGTTGATGTTATAGGAAATAAATTCTTTTTCTTCTTCTCCTTCATCACCAACATCCTCTATAAATCATAATAAATATTCTATCAAATTCATGTCAGTAATCCAATTTTTAATTTATCAACTGTTCAGAGCATGATTAGCCTCACCCCAACCCCAGCCTCACGTTTAAACCCCTACGTGACTCGGCTCTCCCTAATTCTCCCTTCTACCCATTTTTTTCTGACTGCTGACCCAGGCACTTATTTGCTGTGGGATCTTGGGCAAGGTTCTTAACTTCTTGGCATCTCCGTTTCCTTGTTTGTAAACTGGGGACGCACTGGCATGCCTGGGTCGTTGAATGACTGACTGAGCCGCTGCCTAGAGCTGGGCCCTGGCCCCAGGGCGGTGCTAGGTGGTGTCCGATAAGGCCAAGTTCTCCCCACCGCATCCCAGCAGTCTCATCCCCTGTGCTCCAGTCACAGAGGTAGCTTCCCACCCCCAGCCCCAGGGTATTCTGCTCAGGTGTCTACTCAGCACTTGCTATGCGATAGGCATTACTTTAGGCGCATCACACATCTACCCCTCACGAGGACACTATGGGGCTTGGCATGACTATTATTATTCTTATTTTCCAAGCAAGCAATGTTAAGTAAATTGCCCTCAGACATGTGACTGGAAAGGGACAGAGTGAAAATTCAGAAGTCTGATTCCAAACCCAGGCTCCTCAACAGTACACAGCCTGCCCTCTTCCCTCTTTAAGGCCCCTACAGGGAAACCCCCAACAAGAAACATCCCCTGGTGGCACAGTGGTTGAGAGTCCGCCTGCCGATGCAGGGACGCGGGTTCGTGCCCCGGTTCGGGAGGATCCCACATGCCGCGGAACGGCTGGGCCCGTGAGCCATGGCCGCTGAGCCTGCGTGTCTGGATCCTGTGCTCCCCAACGGGAGAGGCCACAACAGTGAGAGGCCCACGTACCGCAAAAAAAAAAAAAAGAAAAAAAAGAAACATCCCCAGGTCACCAAGGGGGCATTCACCTGGCTGTCCCCTCTGCTCTTATAGCGCTTTCAGAGCCGGCTCTGGGGTCAATTTATGAATACAGCAGTGATTTGAAAAAGATTACTGGAATTTAATACTAAGATAACTCAAGATGCATGCGAATAAAATTTCTAGATAGTTAAAAATGAAAATTGAAAAATTAATATAAAAATCATAAAAATGGGAAGTAATACAAACCTCTAGATCTAGTACTAATCAGCTAGATGGGTACACCCTCTAGTTGAATTATCTTTGGTACGACATACTGCATGGAATAACTGCATCAGCAAAAATTAATATTTATTTATTTTTGTCTGCGTTGGGTCTTCGTTACTCCACGCGGGCTTTCTCTAGTTGCAGAGAGAGGGGTCTACTCTTTGCTGCGATGCACGGGCTTCTCATTGTGGTGGCTTCTCTTGCGGAGCATGGGCTCTAGGCGCGCGGGCTCAGTAGCTGTCGCACACTGGCTCAGTAGTTGTGGCTTACGGGCTCTAGAGCGCAGGCTCAGTAGCTGTGGTGCACAGTCCTAGTTGCTCCGCAGCATGTGGCATCTTCCTGGACCAGGGCTCGAACCCGTGTCCCCTGCATTGGCAGGCGGATTCTTAACCACTGCACCACCAGGGAAGCCCCAGCAAAAATTAATATCGAAGGATTAATCTAACTTGATATGTACGATTCGCCTTCACTTCTAAGTCATGGTGTAATAACAAAGGCAGTAGACTTAACTAAGTGATCTCGGGAAAGTCATTTTTCTTCCTCTCAGCTTCAAATTCGTAAAACGTAAAAGGAGCAACAGAGGAGGGGGTGGGATATTAAATTAAGTGGTCTATAAGGTTTCTATAAATGCTAAAAACTATGCGCAAAAGCTATTTGCTTCTTTCATTTTAAGATGAGACAAATACAAAATTCACATTAAAAGAATATAAAATATTAGTATATTTATTTATATATGTAAATATATATTTATCAAGATAATTACTCTTCCAAAATGTTGTTTTTAGTATAATTTTAGGAAGGAGAGGAGGAGTGAGTGGCAGAACATTTTCGTATGCCAGTGACTTCCTAGCTGTTTTTTAAAATTACTAACTACCTGAAAAAAAACCCCAAACCAACCAACCGAGTTTTCTAACTACTGAAATGTGGACATACCACAAGATAAGATAAATCATACTGCCTGGGGGCTTCCCTGGTGGCGCTGTGGTTGAGAGTCCGCCTGCTGATGCAGGGGACACGGGTTCGTGCCCCGGTCTGGGAAGATCCCACATGCCGCGGAGCAGCTGGGCCCATGAGCCATGGCCGCTGAGCCTGCGCGTCTGGAGCCTGTGCTCCGCAATGGGAGAGGCCACAAGAGTGAGAGACCCGCGTAGCGCAAAAAAAAAAAAAATCATACTGCCTGAAACCAATCAAAATAATTGCAATCTGTAAAACACAAAGACAAAGAGTATAAGGAAATACCCCCAAACTAAAATAGTTGTCAGGGTGGTGGGATTATGAAATATTTTTTCCCTTGATTTTTGGAACTTTCAATAATGCTGTTCTATGACTTATATAAAATATATGTCATTAAGATAACACCCAAACAGTAAAGACAATAAAAGTAACATTCTATAAACACCAAAGGAAATTACTAAGTAAAAAATATGGTGTAACCTTGAATCATGTCTTCCTCCCGGACAGAGCGGCATCCTCTATACAAATAAAATCATATAGAAAACATACCGACTGGACACAACATCTAACCACATCCCCAGCACATCCTAATGCAAACAGGGTTAAAGGAACCAGGCAGCAGGCCAGGCGATGAGTCAGGGACCACTGTGAATGCCCAGCCCAGCCCGCGCTAGGAATAACACTGCAATGCAGCAAGAGACGGCTGGGGCTCGGGAATGCACACACGATGACATAATCCTCAGACACGGGTATGCAGAATAGGTGTCCTCTACTGCTCTGTAAAATTCTAACTTCCTTTGATGACAGTAATTTATGCAAGTCATTATTAATATCAGCCATAGACTACATTCTGGATTAGCTTTTTAACACTATTCCCCATAAATACGAAGATCATATGAAGTCTGAGGATGTCTGATTCCCATTATAAAGAACACATGACATTGTTTTATAAACTGCCAAACAATTTAAACTTTCCTGCCTCTTTATAAATTATTATATTTTCCAAATAACAATAATTCTATTTCTGCAGAAACTTTTTAAAAAAATTGTTTAAAGGAGGAGAGAAAGACACTTAATAGTTGATTCCTAACAAAGAGCGTACTAACCCTGCTATATTAGAGGCTTATATACGAACACAATCTGCACGTTTACCAGGCAATACCACTTTCGGTAAAGTTTGAACCAGTTTCCTAATGATGCTAAAGTTACTGGTTAATACACAACAGACTGATACTGTGCTGCCTATTAACACATTCAGGGAACTAAAATACCAGCACAGAAAGTGCTGCGCCTGACTCTCGAGTTCCTGTGCTGCAAGCCATACTGATACATGTTACAGCGCCCTGTGGACATTTCTTTGGTTAACTTCTGAGAGTTTATCAAATTTCTAGAGATGTTCAAAATGTCATTTAGCACTCTTCTGCAATGCTTCTACGGAAAGATGAATGTATTTCAAAGTACGAGTGATTTGTATCATTACGTTGTGAATTCGGTGAGCAATGTGCCTCATTTAATGAAATACAAACAGATGCACATTCAATTACCTTAAGACTCATACCACCTCTCCTAGGTAGATGGGTATGTGTCCGCAGACTGGTGAACAGGCAACTGGAAAAGGGCAGGGGGAGGCTGCCGGCTTCCCTGCCCTTGGTCATCCCCTCCCTCCCTCTCCCCTCCCAACGTTCTCCAGCCACAGGGCAAGCCTCCTCTCAAGCTAGCAAATGAAGCCAGTCATTTTCTTTGGCCAGATGACGTGTTACGTGTTCCTGGCTCTCTTTACCTTTCCTTTTCTTTTCCCTTTAAAATCCAAACAGACTCCTAATACCACATTACTTTGGCCAATCGCTGTCATACACTTCCTCCAGGTACACGCCCTCCCGGTAGCTCTCAGCTTTCCCATCCCTGGTACTTCCTCCAGCCACCTTGCCGTCCACCCGCCCTTCTGTCCTCCTTCTGAGGCCGTGACTTCTTCGCATCCACTCCCTGCCCTGCACAAGGCTAAGAGCGTGGTGAGCGTCTTGAGTCTTCTCTTCCATCCATAACATTGTTGGGAATTTGAAAGGAGGGTTGAACCCCATGTAATCCTTGTACACAAGGTAAAACTGGGGCTCCTCTCGACATTTCCAGAAAAAAAGAGAAGTGAAAAAAACTAAGTCAGTAATGCCTAAAGGATTTAAGACTTCATGCTTTTTAAGGCTAACGCTAATTCAAAAGAAATAATTGATATGAAGTAAATGAAAACAAACACTCCTATTTAATGGATACCAAGGAATTCAACAGAGAAATTAGTTCTTAGGTTTCAGAATCCTTCTTAAAACATCCTTTTCCTAACTGGGCCTTAAAATCCTGCGGTTTTGGTTTCCTCACTCACGACAGAGGCGCTAGACTAAATCTCTCCTGCCGTTCCCAGCCTGATACTCCACGATGCTGAGAGTCGAAATTTCCATCTGTCTTTACTTTTTAAAAAGAAGTAATGACTGCTTTCCCTTTCCTGTACATGAATTCCACTCACTATGAAACACCTCACTTTGAAAAGCATCTTGCTGCAGACTGCTTTGTCCTACAGAAGGTGGGGGGCCCACCTACGGCGTGACAGCACAGGACAGCAAGAACCCAGGCTGATGGACTCCTGGCCCAGTGCTCCAAGACAGTGCCGTGTCACAGCAAATGTTTCCTATTAATTTATTAATCATTTTATTAACCATTTTGGGGTCTAAGCCAGAAATGAATACTTTTTAATCATCAATCTACTACATTTCTTCTCTTTTTTTTTTTTTT